CCAGTTTCGGCAGCAGCTGACTTGGGGATGCCTGGGGTTCTTAAGTTGAATCTGTATGTAAGTCAGAACTAGCATCCAGATTCAGCCGCTGTTGAAACTGATCAGTTTCAGCAGCGGCTGAATCTGGACCCCAGTTCCGACTTACATACAGATTCAACTTAAGAACAAACCTACAGTCCCTATCTTGTACGTAACCCGGGGACTGCCTGTAATTTCATTGAGGTTAGGTCCATAAAAGGCTATTAGCCAGGGGATAAAATGGTGTCCTTGGCCTCTGTTTGTCAGAGGCTGGAGAGGGATGGCAGGAGACAAATCGCTTCATCATTGTCTTCAGTCCACCCTCTCTGGGGCACCTGGTGCTGGCTACTGTTGGCAGACAGGATACTGGGCTAGATGAACCTTTGGTCTGATCCAGTACGGCCGTTCTTATGTTCTTATGACTGTCTTGCCCTGCTCCCCTCCCCCACAAGGTTGTAGCACAAGGACTGGTTTCCCACTGTGTGTGTGGGGGTGGGAGGAGGACGACCCCGAGCCTCACAGGTCAGAGCCAGCTTGTGGGAGGAAGAAGTGACGACTCCTCTCTCCAGCTGGGGGAACGGCAGTGCAGGAAACCTCTCACTTCAAGTAGGGTTGCCAGGGATCTGGTATTCATCCGGACAGTCTGGTTTTTGAGCCCTCTGTCCAGTTAAAATTTGAGAAAATACTGGACACGTGCAATGTCCGGTATTTTCTGGTTTTCCAGCTGGGCGCCCGACGGAAGCCTGGCGCGGGCGGGGGGGGAGTGGCTGGGAGGTGGGGCGCGATTGGTGCTGGGAGAGGCTGGTTGCATCTGATGTAGGAGTGACTACTCAGGGAGGAGGAGAAGCCATGTCCGTGCTCCTGAGAGCTGTTCAAGCACGTTGTGGAGCTGTAGCCGGACTTGCTCATGCTTTGTCAGGACCGTGTGCAGGACGGGCAGCGCCCTGGGATCTGCATGTGCCCGAGTCAGTCCCACTCCCCGAACATGGCAGTGTGGACACGCTCTTGTGGAAGATTTTTGGCACAAAAACTCTTCCGCAAAACAGTTCTTGTGCAAGAAGCCTGCAGTGTAGATGTAGCCCAAGTGTGTTCCTCAGATCACTAGTAGTTTGCAACCATCTTGTAGGTGGGTGCAGGCTCAGGGCTCTCCCTCGCCCTGCAGTGGGAAGTCTCCCTGCGAGGTTGGCTTCCTGCTGCAGGGGAAGGGAGGCAAGCCTTGTGGGCCAGATCCAGCTCATGGGAGGGGAAGTGGCTCTATGCACTGCTGCTCACCTGCCCCGCACTGGGGAAACAGCAGGGCAGGAACACTCACCTGGACGCTTCCCCCCACTGCTCCCACTGGCTGGAATCCTGGCCAGACATCCACCCTAAGCTTGCTCCTTTCCACAGCCTCACTCCTCTCCCGCTCCTGAACTCTTCCTCCTGCCTAGATCCCCACCTTCAGCCTGCTCCTGCATTATTTTGTCATTATGGCTGGTGGTCCACAGAAATGTGTTGAGCGGACCAGAAAATTTGAGAACCACAGCTCTAAACTACTCCTTGAACAACAGGCCATTTTTGTGTCTCTTTACTGACAATATGAGTTCTCACTGACTCAGACTCTAAGGTCAGAAGGAACTATTATCCTCTAGTCTTCCCTCCTGCACACAGACCATCATCCACTACTGTAATAGGGCTAAATCCTCTAAGTTACTAAAGCCTCAAATCATGATTTAAAGACTTCAAGTTATAGAGACTCCAGGTTAAGCCACAGTCTCATAAAACCATATTTGTTTGCTATTTTCCATGAGGCTAAGAGGCAGCTGTCAAAGTGGCAACCTAAGGAGAGAGAATGAGTTCTCTCAGGACCTTATCTACTCACAATGGCTTCAATGGCAACACTACCTCTGCCTTCAATGAAGCAGGTCTGAGACCTCACAGCCTTCTCTTACACAGTGGCTGAAAATTTTGTATTGTCACCAACCAGTGACAGTCATCTGAGTCTACATCTGTTTCTCTGGGTAAGTAAATGGCCAAACTTTTTTTTCCCCGTAAGTGGAAACAAACAGTAGGGGCTTGCATGGTCTTAGAAGCCAGGGATCGTTCATAATAGATGGAGGAAGAAGTACAAGAGATATCAATATGGCTACCTTTCCCTCTCCCACAAAAGCCCTTTGATTTTCACAGCTGCCATCTATTAAAAACAATGTGGAGTAGTAGAGGGGGAGTAAGAACAACAACTTTGAACAATTGTTGTCATTTTTAGAGTTTTCTGGGGCTCTCACTGCAGCAATTGTGTGTCATTAAAGAGTTTGTCAGCCTTCCAAAACAAACAGGCAAAATTATTGTCATTTTTATGAGTGAAAAATATGCTGCTCTGAAATATTTCCATAATCTCAAGAAGTGCCACAAAATCAAATTATGTCAATGGGCTTGCTACTGAAAACATAAACCATAGCAAATATCCAATCACACTACCATTTATGCTATGCAGAATTCGCCCATTCTATTAAAAACAAAATGCCTGAATAATTGGAGACAGACAGTTCACTGCAAATTTTCAAGTACTGACATACTTATCTCGTCCAGGATAGTGGCTAATTATAATTTCTCCATTTTTCCAGAAGAGCTTCATGCTAAACTAAATTCCATTGTATCCATATTCTCTCTCTCTCTATATATATATATGTTTCATCATACTAATATCCGGAAGTTCCTGTGTGATTATGGAGCTCATAAAAAGAAAACGTCATGGAGAATCTGTAACACTCAATATGTGACTCTTGCTCTTAGTGCAGGCCTGGGCAAAACACATCCCATGGGCCGCATCCAAATTGCCAAGCCACTGGATTCAGCCCGCAGACACTGCGGGGAGCCCTAGATAGGCACCCTGCTTGCTACACCCCACCCACTCAGAAAAGCAGCTGCTGGGTTTTTTTTTTTTGTTTTTAACCTTTGAACCCGGGGGGGGAGGGGGAGGGCGGAAGACTTCAGGCACTATCCCCGTATCCAGCACAATCCCATTGGTTGGTTTCTGGCTAGAAACCAGTCAATGGGAGCTGCCTGTTTGAACAACAGGAATCTATGAAGCACCACTCAGAGGTTGGCAGGCTCCCTGGCTGCCTGAGAAACGTGCTTGGCTGCTGGCCGGGAGTCAGTCAGGTAAGTCTCCTGGCTAGAGCCTGCCTCTGCCATTCCAGCTCCTCGCCCCTTCTCCACGTATCCAAACCCTCTGCCCCCCACCTCCTGTATACAAATATGCAAAAAGCTCTCAGTGGTCAGAAACCTTCAGGCCCTTATTTGTCCACTTAGCCACTTCTATGAATTTATTTTACTTTAAATCATATAATGAGTAGCTGGCCAGTCCAGTGTCCCGGGTCACAACCGCCTCTTCACCCAAACTCCCTCCCAGATCCCACTTTCCTTCCTGCACCCCAATCCCTTACCCCAAGCTCCCTTCTGCACCAAACCTCCATCCCTGACCCCACACTTCCTCCATTAATATAATGGAAGAATGCAGTCCTCAACCACTTTCCAAAATCTTGGAGTGACCCCCCCTATCAAAAATTGTCCACCCCTGTCTTAGGCTATGTCTAAACTGCAGGCTTCTTTCGGAAGAAGCTTTTCTGAAAGAGATCTTCTGGAAAAACTTCCTCTGAAAGAGAAAATCTACACAGCAAAAGCGCACTGAAAAAGCGATCTGCTTTTTCGAAAGATAGCATCCATTCAGTGTGGACACTATCACATTTAAGCTGTGATTACTTTGGAGGGAGTAGCCAGCAGGGCACCTGTGCTTTTTCCTCTTTCCTCTTCTTTTGAAAGAACTCCCTCTTCCCTGTCCCCACACACCTTTTTCCGAACGAGCTCTTTTGGAAAAAGGCTTCTCCTCCTAGAAAAGGTTTACCAATGTCAGAAAAACCCCTCTGTTCTTTCAATTTTTTTCTCAGAAGAATGCAATTGCAGTGTGGACATAACTGGAGTTTTTTTTCAGAAAAACGTCCGTTTTTCCAAAAAAAAAAAACCTCTGTAGTGTATACATACCCTGAGTGTCTTGGATACTCTACCATGCATCATATTTCAAATAAAAAACAATGTAATTACAATCCTAACTTCACACATGATTTTTAGTTCTTAAGACTAGGGAATCTCAGTGGGTTTAACCACTAGAATCGGTAGACAGTGTCATTACCTAGGCTAAAACCAACAACTGTTACAACATGATTTATGGGCATCAGGAATACATTTTTTTAGGTGAAAGGAATAAAGCAAAGAAAAAGTAAATAAAAAAAGACACCCAAATGGCAATAATTATATTTACACAGGAACAAGCTACTTCAAAATATACTTGAGACCATCATCCAGAGCTCAAGGCTATCTATGATTTCTTCAGTTTCAGCTTTGCTGCTGATGTCACTGACAAACAGCCTTAAAGGGACTGGAGAAATGTGGATGACAACAATTTATTTAGGGGCAGACTTCACTACGGTGGACACCAAAGACCAAATATCCAACTTCAGTGGTACTGAATCAGGCTATGAGTCCAATGACTGATCTATATTGTAACACCAAAATCTAAATTAAGTGATGCAATCTGTCCTGGGGTGAGAGAACTGCTGGTAAAAAAGCCACCATTCTGGTTTATTCAGTACAATTTTAGATACAGGCTCTTATTTAGGGATCAGAAAAAAAAATGATATGAGGAAACCTGTTAGTTGTTTAATTGCACCTCATCAAACAATTTTTTTAAGCCATCCATGCTTGTCTGAAATAATTCTAAGCTTCTGCCAAAGAAAACTACAAAGAACAGTCTAACCTTCATTCTATTCTGTTTAATTCCTTCCACAATCTGCTCCATCTGCCGCAGAAACTGCTCACGAGCACCTGAAGAGGCCATTGCTCTGGAATAAAAATGAATACCGATTTAGAGGGGAGGGAGCTGGACAAAAAAGGAGTTTCCTCCAGAATTTTTATCTATCCTGCATGTACAACTCTTAAAATAGATCTAAGCAATATACGGTTGATCTTAAAAGTATAGGTGTTCTTTCTGCAGAGTATATATAAAGGCACAAAAAGTAGATGCAGACAATCCAAGATAAAAGATAAAAGGCCAGATGCTGTAAATTGACATAGCTCACTGTGATATATCCCCAAACTCTATTAGATCACCCAGTTCATCTCTTTGCTTTGTGCACGATTATTCCCTTTGCTAGTGTTTTGTAATGTGATAATAACTATTAGTAGACCAAAAAAATGGTTTCAAAGTAAATGTTTTAAAAATAATACCCTATGTGAAAGTCGGAATGGATTACACGACTGGAATGTCAGTCAGAACTGTAAACAGAGTTTTATTTTAGTGGTTATAATTTGCATTTTTTTAACACATTATTTTGGTGTAAAGTACAATGAATGTTATTTCATTCTATTCTTAACTATAAAACTACTAATTGTAGATGACCACTTTATCTTTAAATATAAACTGCCCAAGTGAACTGTCAAGAGTATAACTTCTCATTGATTACAGTGTACTACACAGAAGATCTCATCACTGAACAAAGCAGATCTCTGTACTCTATTGTAGTGGAATTCATCTCATATATTTACTGTGTTTATTACAATTAAGTGAAAATGTAATAGTTTGGGGTGGTTGCTTGTCATGGCAAGCACATGGTCAGTTGATTCAAGGTGTTCACAGGTAACAAAAATAAAGGTTTACTTTTTCATAGGAAATTTTAAAAAGTCATGACTGCATTGTGATTAACAAAATAGGTCATGGACTAAAATATCAAGCTGTTAGTAACAAGAGAATAGTAGTTAAATATTTCTAAGCACCCTAATTTCTCCCTCATTCTTCATTTTATTAAACAAAGATAGAAGTACAGTAAAACATAAACTAACCAGAACTTAACTATCCGGAAAACTTTAGAAGACGGCAAATTTCCTAGAGGCTTGGTGCAGCCCGGTGCTTTTATCTGGCTGGTGCAAGGCTGGACGCAGCCTCATGGCATGCTGCTATGATCTGGCCAGCTGGGCTGGGAAGCTGGCGGCCCCTGCGGCGTGGGAGTCACAGCTCCGAAAAGGGACCCTCAGATAACCGGAATTTTTAGGTAACTGGAACACCCTAATCCCCAAGCATGCGGGATAACACTGTATTATCTGTAAAAATTCGCACTGGAAGATGGCTCAACAGGCTGTTAAGACCAAGGATGAAACCCTGGCTACCTGGATGTCAGTGGCCAAGATTTCATTGAGACTTCAGTGATCCAATCATCACTTTTTAAAAAGAGGTTTGTAATAGCAACTCTAGGCCAATGCAAACATATAGCTAAGTCAGTTAAGAAATATGTTGAGTCCATAGTTATTTTCATGTAACACAAGCCCAACCTGACAAATATGTCAAACAAGGTTTTTAAATGTTCCAGTAAGTTAGAAGCACGAAGAAGTGTAATCAGAGCAATTTTAGCATAATTTAAAACAATACAGTAGCAAGATCAAAGTACTAACACGTAGATCCCATATGTTCATAAGTAATTATATTACTTCAGGTATGCCAAGTTATAGCATACAGCTAGCAAAAATTACAAAAAATGTACCGGGATCTTACTCAGAACTGACCACAAAATTTCGGAACATATAAAATTTAAAGAAGAATCAGAAAAGTTTCTGCAAATATTCTTGAATAATTTCTACCCTAATTTTGCTAACCAACTATACATGTATGAGTAGATACCAAAAGCTAGTAACTCAGGTTACTTACTGTTGGAAATTATCATGAATTGAGTTCAGCAAGTTAACCTAGTGAAGACAAAAAACACATAGCTCAAAAGGTATAATCTCCTCTTCAACACCAACATAGATTTGCAGTTACTTTAAAATGTGATTCAGCTCAAAAATTCAGCTGCATAAAAATGCGATCTTCTTGTTTTTCAGAGTAGTACATGATACTGTCTGCATGTATTGAGAGAGTTACAATCAGCCTACTTTAGCAACAAAAATAATTTTACTGTTTTTCACTCCGGTTAGCACAGGCAGGGTTAAGGATCCTGTTTGACTAATGGAAGCCAAACTGTGCTTGCAGGCCTTGAAATGGAGCAAATGTCTTTTGTAGTAAATTAAGCACAGTCAAATAAATATGGGAGATGCCGGTTCATATAACTGGTCTGAATCAGGAAGAGCAAGGACTTGAACCTGAATATCCCACAAGAATGCCTTAATTGGGCTACTAGTTATTTTAGAGAAAGTGTGTATTAAAGAATTAGTTTCCTTGTGAAAAAAAAAAAACTTGGACCTGGCAACTACTTGGCACAAACACCACTTAGGCAAATTGACTTTCAGAATTAGGCACCTGTGATTTGTACCTCTAAAAACATCCTCCCTAATTATTGGTTTAATTAACACACATTTAAAAGCCCTTTGCAGGCCTATGCCTAACAGCTCTTTTATACAACAAACTAATTAAGATTTGCTTGCAAATCTTATTATTCTCTCCAATAAATTATTCTCCAGACGACAAGTATTTGGGTTTGCCTTTTGAAGATGAATGTTTCAAAATGTATCCTCTATACGAGGGCTACTCAACTTTGGAAGCTTCAGGGGCCACAATGATACTCACAGCTCATGCTGAGGGCCACAACTTAAGTGTGGTTGCATGCAAATATATATGCAAATTGCTTTTCACATTGACAGGCATGAATACAAAGACTAAGGTATGACGACAACACGCCAGCCCCATTTAAGTCAGTTCTGCTGATATTAATAAAATGCGATATTTATCCGATTTCCACCCATATGATGACACTTTTAATGAGCAAGAACAGTCCAGGAATTTAACTACGAAAACACATATCAGCAGAAGTCCATTATATTGATTACTTTTTTGTTTTGGCTTCACAGTTTTAACAATGTTTCCATTTTTAATGCTTCTTAATTGTATACCAGTGTTTTGGGAGTTTAGCTTGTGTGCTTCTTGGAGTGATTTTACTGTATAAAAAAAAAAAAAAGTTTCCAAGCCAGTGTACTCCAACCTGCAGTCGGCAGGGAGCTGAGCGAGTCAGGCTGGAAACAAGAGGCAAAAAAGTACAGGTAACCAGGAGCCCCATCCTGGATTCCCAGCAGAGATGATGTCCCTACGCGGTAGTCTGTTGCTCCGTGCGAGATGGAGGCAGGGCTGCCTGGCTGCGGTGCCAGACCCAAACGTTGCCAGTGTCAGCCAGTCAGCACCTTTCAGGCTCTGCCCTCATGGCTAAGCAGCCAGCACTTCCCACAATGCCCAGGTGCTCCCGGTACTTACTCCCTGGGGGCTAGAAATGCCGACACTCTGTACCTGTCTGTTCTAGCAAGCCTGTCCACTTCTATCTTTCAATGAACCCCACCCCTGGGAGATTCTTTGCTGTTGTGGAGCGTGTTCCCAGTGGAGGCCATATTCAAAGGATCCCACCCATGAACCGTGTGTTGATCCTGGCGTAAATCCAAACCGCACCATGAGACGCAAACGAACAGGCCGCAGGCCGCACGCTGCCTGTGGGCCGCCTGTTGAGCAGCCCTGCTCTATACTGTAAGAATTCTATTCTGCAAACAATACTGTACTTAGCACTTTCTAATACACATACCCCCATTGGAACAGTGATAAGCACACTGCATGTAAGAGTTTGCCAAATCAAGACCCAACAGATTTAAAATGAAGAATCCAAAGTGTATTATTAGGGTGCAGAAATCCTGTTCTTACTATTTAAAGGTCAAGAATACTAGCCATAGATCAGACCTTTTTTTGTTAAAACTGTTGTTTTGACCAATGGATTTTCTCACCAAATTAAAACAAAAACTCCACCACAAAACCAAAACCAACAATCAAAAAAACCGCACACAAAAACAAGTTCCCACCCAACTTTCTGCAAGAGTATGCCAGTTTCAACAAACTATTTGTTGGGAAAAGTTTCTCAGGTCTAGGATAGAATTCCTATTGAAAATTAAAGCAAAAGAGAGGCACCCTTCCTAAAAAACACAAATTGCCTGATGATTCGGGTATTCACCTTGGATATGGAAGATGCCGGGTCATATCACTGTCTGAATCAGGCTGCACAAGGACTTGAACCTAAATCTCCCACATGAATGCCTTAATAACTACAATAATGGTTATTCTAGAGAACGAATCTATATGTGCCTTTCTCACTCTACTTCATTTTTTGTTGAAAAAGTTCAAAGTGTCTCACTTTTGTCCCAATGTATAACAGGAGGGAAAAAACATTTTTCAACCAATTCCACTTCATTTTCATTGTGTATACTATTTTAGTTACTGTATCTAACTTTGGAACATCTCTGTTTACTTCTGTCAAATACTACTAAAGTAAAACATCCTTAAGGATGGGCCATGTGGTCACATAACTTATATTAATGTACCCTATCAAATATCTTGCAAATAAAAAAAGCAGTATTTTGTGTCCCTAACAGAGAGCTATAGAGTTACATTTCACATCTAAAGTCAGTAGAAAAATGTAATAATCTGAAAGTGGGTTTCCAGCAGTTACAGCATTTTAAAAATTAATGCTATGCAAATTTGTAAAAATCAACTGTGTGAGCACAGATACCTTTGATGTCACAAATCCATCCCAGTAATGAATTATTCTACATTAATTACAAAATAGTAATGTACACAGACTACTTCTAGATTTTTTGTTTCTTTTTTGTAACACGAAATATCTTCCAAAGAATCTTAAGGAAACCAAGACCCAAAATGATGAAGAGACATTTGGTTTGCGTGATACCAACACAAAACATCTGTTCATTAAAGCCTGATTTTTAAACTAAAATCAGCACAAGAAAACTGAAACCACACTGTACATTGATATAAAAAAATCAACTTTTTCTTATTTCAGAAGAGATAATTAGAAATAAGCATAAGCCATCAGAAATCCTTGATGTAAGTTGTGGCTTAATTTTAAAATTACATTCATAAATATATAGTTAGGATAAAAGTAAAACAATTCTCAGAGTTTGTACTTAATTATGTATGGAATTATTTTGGGCAAAACTACTCCAGGTTTCATTTCAATTTTTTTTAAAAGAAAAGAGACTATTTGCTATACTTTAATGAACAATCAAGCATTTCTGGTCTGAATCTGCCACCTCTGTCTTTAATAGGGCCACATCTATTTCAGAAGCAATCAGTGAAAATAGATTAGTTTGTATGCCTGTACCCTCAGTAAATGTTACAAAAATCTGTGGTAAAGTCTAATCCACAGAGGACATTAGAGCAATATGCCATGCTAAATAAAGAGTACGTGATCTGCAAAATGTCTGTTAATTTAGAATAGCACAAAACACAATCATTCAGACAAAGAAATGGATATAATACAAACAGATAAAGGCAAGACATTTGGTAATACTTTTCTAGAACATATTAAATAAATATTTATAGCCCAGCATTATAGTGGTGTAATCTTATCTTTTCCCCCTCTCCTAAGCAGACTAAGCGTTAGCACTAGACTCATAATTTTCATGTCATGGGGACTATGTTCAGATGTTTTGCCAATACAGTACACATGTAATATATACAACACAGATTATTATAAGCAGCATGAATATATACAGCTGACTCAATCCTTTATCTAGTAACATTTAGCATCACATCTCACCAAGAGATAATGTTTTACAAGCTTTTGAGGAAGACAAAATCTTAATGACAATTTTATCAGACCAAGAAATAAGCTGCACCTATGCTGCAGTGAACATTTTGTCTGGCTGACCTTATGTAAATAATATGTTGAATACATTTGAGAAAAACAGAAAATACTCAATGATAAATGCACTGTCGATATCCTTCATAAAATAACATTTCTAGATCATGTCATAATTATTAATACAGGAAATATATCATTGCTGGTTTTCATTAGGGATGTTAAAATGTGGATATTTTTGGTAAACATGTAACTGCTGAAATTTTAAGCAGGCTTCCCATATGTACCAACTCTGGAAGAGCCACCTGCACTTCTCCCTGCTGCACTGCTGCCTCTGTATCAGAAGCAACAGCAAAGGGGGACAAGTGGTTCCATAGGAATTGGTATGTGGGGGGAGCTGGCTTAAAAACTGGCTTCTCATGAACACCAGCTCCCGCCTGCACCTCTCCTGCCTGATACAGAAGAAGCAGTGCAGAGAGAAGCATGCAGCTCCGTGGAAGTTGGCTCCCCACACATACTGCCTGTCTCCCCGCTCCTACATTGCTGCCCCTCTATCCAGAGGTAGGCAACTTCCAAGGAGCCGGTGCTCATGGGGAGCCTGCTTAAAAGCTGGCTCCCCACAAACATCAGCTCCTGCCTGTTCCCTCTGATACAGAGACAGAAGTGCAGGGTGACAGGGCCTTGCGTGCAACCATGAAGGTTAACCTACGAGCTTATGCTCCTACCTGTCCCTCCTCCCCTCATATAAACATATAACCGCTAACATTTCCAGCGGTTACACGTTTACACAAATACCTAATAGTTAACATCGCTACTCTCTATATCCTCCTCCTCATTATTTGAAAAGTGAGGTGGAACGGGATAACTGTCAGGGTGCTGCTGACTGTTCCAGTGAAATATCAATGCTGAGTAGCAGCAAGTCAGGGATTTGCGAGACAAGCAGATTTCTGTTGTGGGTGAACTGCGGTGCCAAGGTAGGCGGTGCCAATTTGTACTGCAAATTTGTACTTCCCCACTAACTGCCATGATGGTGTGGGGAAGCTGAGATGTGACGTGGTGCCATGAACTAAGCAATAAGTGAGTAGTATGTGCTGAGGCTGTGATAACAGCCATATGTGGCAGAGGCTGATGTACCTAAAGAGGCAGAGAGGTTGTGGCAGTGCCACAGTCGAAAAGGCAAGCAACTTCAGGCCATTAGCCTTGGTACTGAAACTATGTGCACCGGTTGTAGCTGGAGCATGATAAGTGCCAGAGATGCCTAGAAACATCACATAAGCTGCACTGCAGGCAGCACAGATGGCACCAAACATCTTGCAAAGCATTTCAAGGCAGACTGATTGCTATGAGGTGAAGCAGCGGGTGTTGGGTTTTTTTCATCCTTTTTGGACCTGGTTGGGCTCTGTAGCACAGAGGATTCCAGGCCTGGGTCAGAGTTCAGCTTGAGCAATTTCTCTAAGGGAATTAGCTTAAGATTTCAGGTCCCTGTCCTTTTCTGCCCTCACTGAGTTTACTGCAATGGACACTTTTCTGGGGAACACAGGAATTCCCCCAAGCAGCAGATACATTGAAAATGTCCGTCAGAGATGAGAATGGCATCGCTGCATGAAGTGCACCTCTTAGAACCTGGGGAGCCATGCATAAATGAAAACTATCTAACTCAGGGAAAACAGTAGGGAAGACATTACCTCCCTCCCCCGAAAGGGGAAAGAAATAAAACTTTTGCCTACAACTAACTACAGTAACCAAACTGATAAGTAAAATAACTGTAACTGCCCTTGATTCTATAATTATTCAAGAGTGAAAAACTGAATGACACTGCTGAGCTCCATGTCAGGAAGGTGACGGCAAAAGAAGGAACACCAAGGAGATGAGCTGAACATGTGAGCTATTAAGGCACCGTCTGTGTGAGACACAGGCACCGCGCATGTGCGGCCCATGCGGACACTGCTATATAAATCTCAGAGAGAAGGCACAAGGCGTACCAGCACCTGAAATGTAGCACCCACAAGCTACAACATTTGCATTACAATAGAACATTCCATAGTATCATGAGCACGGCATACTTCAGTACTGCAGCCATCTCAAAGATAAATGTGTAGTCTTACTTCATTTAGGTCATTATAGCAAAATCAGAAGGCGGCTTTGGTGGCTTCTCCCACATGTGAAACAAAGAAGTTCAGTAAGTCTGCAAAAAAGCTCAGTTTTCCTCGATTGCCAGTTCAAGGAAGTGTTGATGATACCGAATGAACTTTGCATACAGCAATGTCCTGGCCCTACTGAAGTCAATGAGTTTTGCTATTGACTTGACCCTGCTGACAACTATGTGAATTTGACTTTGGCATGTGAAGTCGCTGGCTGTAGCACTGGGTCCTAAACAGACACTGGACAGTTCATCCTCAGGTTAATCTGATTTTGTGAAGCCAAAATGTAAGTTATATGTGTTAGTATCCTAATTTTATTTTTTAGCCTAAATTGAAAAATTTAGATATCTATTTCTGATGTTGGCTTTTGTGTTAAAAATATACACATACACACAAAATGCACAAGCAGAAATCTTCCTCAACAGCATTAAAACAAAACAAAGATTTTGACAAGCCTTTTAGTAAAAAGAGTTTTAGACCCAAGTCAATTTCTTCTGTTTTGACCTTTCAAGGTAATTATATCTTGGATAGATAAATCCTAGTCCAGGGTCTTAAACAGAAACTCCACAGTATTCTATTTTCCTTTCATGGGCTAAACATTTAAAAACATGTTCTTACCTCTTTTTCCAAATATACCTTCTTATCATCCAATGTGTTATAGAGGGTAAAGAACTGCTTTGTTTCTTTGTGAGTTGCTGACACTGAAAAGAAAAATAATAGAGCCATGAATGAGCATAAGGGACATTCCCCTCTCCAATACATTTAAAGAGATGTATTGTTTACATAATATAGAACACAGAACTATTTTGATTAAATTATTTAAAAATCCTCAATGAAATAGTTTTCCTGCAGTTCAATATTTTAATGCAGTGCTAACAATCCTCTGTGGTACTGGGAGATTTCATGAGTATCAGAATGCAGAACTAACTAGTCTTTTTTATAATCTTCTCAAAAAGGGGATGAGAGGAGTTGGAAGTAATTCCAGTGATGTAGGTGTACAGCATATGGCCTGGTTTGCTTTTCTATGGAGTCAAAGAGCTTGTCTACACGGAGAAGTTAATGTCCCGTAAGTTAGGGTGTGAAAGGCACACTCTGGTACACAGATTTCATCACAGAGTGCATATAGGGAATTAGTGAGGAGTACATAAAGGAGAGGTATGGTATTCAAGAACTTATTAATTTAAATAAGAACAGTGTCTGTCACCAGGATGAAGGATTTGGGGAACACCTCTTCTGAGTAAATGACTGAGATAAGATGCATGTGGTAATATCCCCTATTGGATCAGCCTCTGTTGGTGCAAGAGAGAAGCTTTCAAATTACAGAGCTTTATTTTGGATCCTAAAGAAGTTTCACAGTTTAATTCTCCAAAGATTCCATCTACAAAGATAATGCTCCAGTCTAAGTTTGGACATACTGTGTACTATATAACGATGTGCATTCTGAAATTTCAGGTTTTGGGGGAAGAAGGGAATCTCTCTCAAACTACACACACAAAAATTAGTGGACATTTGACCTTAATCTCTTTGTGCCTCAGCATCCATCTGTAAAACATAAAATGGGACTAATATTGTCTCATTTCACAGGGATGTTGTGAAAATAAGTTCATGAATATTTATCAAACTCTTAGACACTACAATGATGACCACCATAGAAAGACCCTGAGGAAATTAAAAGCCTGTCTATTAGCAGGGTTTGACTAGTGTACAGCAAAAAGGTCCTGGGGCCACACACTGAACAATTAAGAGAAAAAGTATTTAGTATCTGCTAACCAAATGAACATCATCTATTTTGTGGACTGAATGAGGCAGGGTTGCGGTGCAAAAAAAAAGTATGTGATCATTTAATTAAATATTACTACAATGTGTATGCTCAAGGGAGCCAATTAAAAGTGCATTGGCAACCTTAATTCCAGCATTTCCTAATTTTTGAGTTCTTGGCAAAACAACTTTAATGGTGTTTTAAAATAGTGTCCATGTAACATTATGTAGTCTGTTTGTACATACATCTGATTATACACTGTTCATATCTGTACATACCATACACAGAGTGCGTATAGTATATACATACCAACAGATGCACAGTATGTGTTCCTCCTTTCCCGATATCACGAATACAGGACCAGATTTAGAAGCATATAAGTTATTCGCAGGCCCAATTTCATTATCAGGGCACACACTTTTCTAAAGATTTGGGCCATATTACTGAGTTACACATTAACAGGGAAGAAATGTTGAGACTAGATTTGCACGTCTGCTTAGCTATCACAGCACATTTGTAACACTGACAATTGTTTTAATGCCTCTAACCTACAGCAATAAAAAGGATATGAGGTGTTCAAGAGCCAGACTTAACTACGAATTTCTTGACAATATTTGATTCAGAACCACATACTTAAAGAAAACACACAGACACACCATACAAAAAATGGTAAATCAAGGTTAACCATGATT